CTCGGTCCGGCCTTGGTAGAGGTGTAGTGTATAGTAGAATCGACCTCAATGCTGTGCTGTGCTGCTTTGTGTAGCTGTCCTAATCTACGGAAAGACCAGTGACTTTTTTCTTCTGGGTGCCTGCAGCTTCTGTGCCTGTTGATGCATGCTTGCTTGCTTGGTTCATGGCGTGTGTGTGTGTGCGCCTCCACATGCATGACATGACAAGCAAAGCACTCCGTAGCAATTGATCCGCTGCATGCTGCTGCCTCAGTACTCCTACTTGCGCCATGCATGCATGCTAAAGGTGACCAGCAGCCAGCCTGACAGGTCCGCGATGCACATAAATGGATAGACACATCATACATCAACAAGTCCTTAATTCAGTCATGGATGCATGCCGGGGGTAGAGAGAGAGGGGGGTCGTGGTGCAAGGGCATCTCCAACGGCAATCACCGAGCGGACACCATGGATGCGCTCGACGTGTCCGCCGATAACTTTGTCATCCCAACCTTGTCCCTCAAATCCGTGGGCTATGGCTGGTAGTGAATCAGACGAACCAAGAGAAGGAAGAGATTTTTTCCGATAAAGGACGGGTTTTATTAACTCAAAATGAAGCATGAAGAAGATACAAACATGATGAGCACACATCCGGCCTCTGCATAGATAGGATGCACACAACCAACACCAACGCACACACATAGAAACGCGCCGACAAATAGCAAAGTCATATAAGACCAAAGCTATGCATATAGGCAAGGAAAAAAAAACCAAAGCGATCAAATCCTGGACCGACAAACTATAACAAAGGCCATATCTGCACCGACCATCTCATGACACTACTCAGACGACGAGATTCTTCAACAGTAACGCCTTCAGGAAGGGAGCGACACTCAAGTGCCACCGTCACCGGACGCAGCCACCCAAGGCTGCCATCTAGGTTTTCACCCTGAAGAATCAGTCCGAACATTCCGAACAATGCCTTTAACAAGGTATGGGCGTAAAAACAAGAGAAGAAAGAGATAAGTGGAAGACATGGGTTGTGGCAACTGACGACTTCCCCAAGACCCGTCTATTTCTTTTCGTAAATACGCAAAGATTGTTTATGTATAGAAGG